CTGATGATCTGATGATGATGGTGGTGGTGATGATGATGAAGATGATGGTGATGGTGATGGTGATGATGATGCTGATGATGTGATGATGCTGCTGCTGATGATGATGATGATGCTGATGATGTTGATGCTGATGCTGATGCTGATGCTGATGCTGATGCTGATGCTGATGCTGCTGATGAGGAGGAGGAGGAGGAAGAGGAGGAGGAGGAAGAGGAGGAGGAGAAAGAGCAGGAGGAGGAGGAGGAGGAGGAGGAGGCCTCTTGCGCGCGCCCGCCGCCCTGGCAGCGCGGTGGCGGCTCGAGAGAGCGACCAGCGGAGGCTCGCCTTTTCCCCTCGGAGCTGGGTCTGTGCCTCGTCTTCCCTCCGAGCCCCAGGGGGCCCCAGAGCTCAAGAGGCCCCCAGCAAGGCCCCCCCGAGATCCTCTCCGAGCATATGCTCCAGACCCCCTCGCGTTGTGAAGAAACACGACGGCCGGTCCTTCGCTGTTTTCGGCCTCCGGGGGCCCTCCCCCGGGGCAGGGACTGCGAGCAAACGACTCGGGACGAAGAACGGGTCCCCGGGGGGAAGGGCTGCAGGCCTTTGGGGGTCGACCCCGCGAACAAAACCATGACGTCGGGGGTCGGGGCCCCAGACCAGCACGGCGGAGGCGGAGCGGGAGCGCCGGGAGGGCGTGCGCGTGCAGGAGAACCCTTTCACGAAGGATTGCAACAAAACCCTTCGCTCCAGTGAGGGTTTTTCAAGGGAGTGTTTTTTTGCAATCCTTCGTTCAAAAGTGAGGGTTTTTGTTTTGCAATCCTTCGTTCGAGTGGTTTTTTTGGTTTGCAATCCTTCGTTCAAGTGAGGGTTTTTTTGCAATCGAATCCACGCTTCCTGCGCGAGCGCTCGCACCACGCGGCCCGTCTCAGCGGACCGGGGAGGGCCGTGTTCGCGTATGATGCGCGGTGGGGTGGTGCGCACGCCCGGGCTCCCTATGGCGGAGCTGCCCGGCCCCCGGGCAGGGAGCGCAGGGGGCCGCCACAGGGGCGTCGACTAGAAGGGCTGCTGGCGGCCCCGCAGGAGTGGCGGAGGACGGCTGGCGTGTGCCCCTCCCCGCTCCTCGAAGGAAGAGGCACGTGGACCATGGCCAGGATGTCGCGGGAGGCCTTGCCCCCGCCGGTCTTGGTCGTGGTCCACGTCGGCCGCCGGCGCTTCGCGAGGCTGGTGCACGAGCTGGCGGTGACCAAGAGCGACGCTGACCAGGTTCGGCACGGCGTTTCCGCGTGCAGTCGTGGCCATAGTCCCCGTGTTCTTTACCACCAGGCTTGCCGCCGCCCCATGGGATCGGCATTCCTGCAGTCAAGCAGTGGCGAAGGGTCCCAGCTCGCCTATAGGCCTACCAAAGAATGTTCTAAGAACCTTTTGTGGTCTGCACGACATGTTCTCTGAGCACTTCTGGCTGAGGCCGTCTCGCTTTCACACGCCGGGCCCGTGCTCTACGAACATAGAGCATCTCTGGGTTCTAAGAACATGCCGTGGTAGGCCCATAGGAATGCCGGGACGGTCCGTCCCTGCTCCGTGCAGGCCCGCGGCAAGTTGGCAGGGCGCCCTGCCCCGCAGGGCGCCGCGCGGGCCACGTGTGCCGTGCCGGTTGCTCGGGGCACGTGGGCTCGCAGTCTGGCGGCTGCTCGCGCCGTGCCCGGCCCCCGTGGGGGCCCTCCGCCCCTCTCGCCGTGCTCCTCGTGCTGCTCATCCCCCAGGATGTCCTCCCAGACATGACCGCGTCGCTAAAGAAAATCAGGGCGGGAGGGGGCCATTTTCGGCCCCGGGCAGGGGCCCTCGCCGGGCCTCGGGACCATTTAAAGACGGCTCGGGACGAAAAACTGGTCCGGGGAAAGGGTCGGGACTTCCAGGGACGCCGTCCTGAAAAATTCGGGACGCCGCATGTCTGTCCTCGTAGCTCCCCCTCATCATCATCACCGCTGCTCCTCCTCATCATCACCCCTGCTCCTCCTCATCCTCCTCCTTCTTCATCCTCCTGCCTCCCTCGCCCCCTCGTCATGAAGGCGAGGGCAACGAGAGGGGAACGGGTGCCAGACCCCGCGCCCCCCTCCCCCCCAAAGACCAGCTGTTCGCCCCGAGTGGTCGCTTGACGGTCCTGGGGCCTGGGGAGGGCCCACGGGTCCGAAAGCGCAGTAACACCTTCAGGACCCGGCTCCCTCGGAACCCGCCTCCCTCCGCGGCGACCCGCCCGCCCCCCCCCATTCGCCCACTTCCCCGCCCTCCCATCCATGCCTTGGCCCGCCTGGCTATATAAGCGCCACCTGCCGAAGCCACAGCCAAGCCAAGTTCTGATCCGGCCAGTCCGGCAGGCCCTCGTATCAGCGTCTACTCGCCTGGCAGGCGAAAGTGCCCATCTGACCCCCCCGACCAAGGCAGGGGGTGGCTGCAAGCCCAGTCCCCCGACGTCGTGATTTTTCTGCAGCGTCGACCCCCAGTGGTCTGGACCCCTTCCCCAGGACCACTTGACGGTCCCGAGGCTCGATAAGGGCCTCCGGAGGCCGGAACGATCGGAACACCTCCCGTCGTGATTTTTGTCACGACGCGACGGGGTCTGGGGTTAAGCCGGGCACGCCCTTGTACAGGAGGAACACGTATCCAAACATAGTAAGAAGAACTAGTCTGGGGACGATTGCGTTTGAATCATTCTTTGGACGATGGTTGAGCATATCTCGACTATTGTTTTTGTTCGTGCAAAGTCCGCCTGTAGGGGGATATTCGGAGGGTGAATTACCTACCCCGCTTTCGCTTCCAGGCAAAACCAAGTCATACCACGCGCCTCCTCGTCAAGCGGCCTGACCAGTACAGGCCGTAGCTTGGCCTTGTTTGGTATCTCTTGGAAGCGAGGGTGGTCAAAAGCGAGGTAGGTTTGTTTTCCCCCTAGACATATGCCCGACCTATAGGTCGATCTGGGGGCGCGGCCGCTCGCAGCGTGGCCCGGGGGAGCGCTGGGCCCGAGCCGCAGGCCGGGCCGCGGGGGTGCTCCCCGAGAGAGCCCGCGGGCGCGCGCGCGCGGAAACGGCCCCGGACCGGCCCCGGGCGCGCTCGGCGCGGGTGGACAGCCCCCCATACATCACCACCCACCAAACCACCCCAGCCCAACCCGAAGGCCTCAATGTATCCTCGATTTCCAGTGGGGGGGGTCGGGGAACGCTGAGAGAACACATGGAATCCGTACCCCCCCCCACCCGAAATTCGGGTCAAATTCGGGTCTTCGGGTTGGGTTGGGGTGGTCTGGTAGGTATAGTCAATACATGCTCGCGTCGCCCCCCCCAAAAAAAAACGGGACGGGAGGTTTTTCCCCATATCCTAAGATGGGGTTCTTGTTATTACTTGGACGCCTCCTACTCCTCATTCTCCTTCTCCCCTCTTCTCGTCTCCTCCTACTTAGACTCACTCATACTCAGATTCACTCATACACAGACTTACTCATACACAGACTTACTCATACACAGACTCACTCATACTCAGACCTGATCACACTAACTTACTCATACTCAGACCTACTCATACCCAGACCTACTCATACTCAGACTTACTCATACTCAGACTTCCTCCTTCTCCTCCTCCTTTTACTTAGAGTTCCTCATACACAGACTTACTCATACTCAGAATTACTCATACTCAGACCTTCTCATTGTCTGACTTATTCGATAAACAGCAGATTGCGAGGATGTCTCAGGCGGGGCGCTGGTTTCAGCACCCCTAAGGGGAGCCGCCGAGGGGTGTTGCACGGTCCCGTTCGCGGCCGTTTTGTGGGGATGTCTCAGGCGGTTTGCCTGTTTGTCTTGCCAACATCCTTCGCTTGGAGAGCAGATTTGGAGGATGTCTCGAGCGAGGCGCTCATTTCAGCAGCCCTAAGGGGAGCCGCCGAGGGGTGTTGCACGGTCCCGTTCGCGGCCGTTTTGTGGGGATGTCTCAGGCGGTTTGCCTGTTTGTCTTGCCAACATCCTTCGCTTGGGAGCAGATTTGGAGGATGTCTCGAGCGAGGCGCTCATTTCAGCACCCCTAAGGGGAGCCGCCAGGGGTGGTTGCACGGGCTCGTTCGCGGCCATTTTGTGGGGATGTCTCAGGCGGTTTGCTGTTTCTGCCAACATCCTTCGCTTGGAGAGCAGATTTGGAGGATGTCTCGAGCGAGGCGCTCATTTCAGCAGCCCTAAGGGGAGCCGCCGAGGGGTGTTGCACGGTCCCGTTCGCGGCCGTTTTGTGGGGATGTCTCAGGCGGTTTGCCTGTTTGTCTTGCCAACATCCTTCGCTTGGAGAGCAGATTTGGAGGATGTCTCGAGCGAGGCGCTCATTTCAGCAGCCCTAAGGGGAGCCGCCGAGGGGTGTTGCACGGTCCCGTTCGCGGCCGTTTTGTGGGGATGTCTCAGGCGGTTTGCCTGTTTGTCTTGCCAACATCCTTCGCTTGGAGAGCAGATTTGGAGGATGTCTCGAGCGAGGCGCATTTCAGCAGCCCTAAGGGGAGCCGCCGAGGGGTGTTGCACGGTCCCGTTCGCGGCCGTTTTGTGGGGATGTCTCAGGCGGTTTGCTTGTTTTCTTGCCAACATCCTTCGCTTTCGGAGCAGATTTGGAGGATGTCTCGAGCGAGGCTCTCATTTCAGCACCCCTAAGGGGAGCCGCCAGGGGTGGTTGCACGGGCTCGTTCGCGGCCATTTTGTGGGGATGTCTCAGGCGGTTTGCTTGTTTCTGTGCCCAACATCCTTCGCTTTCGGAGCAGATTTGGAGGATGTCTCGAGCGAGGCGCTCATTTCAGCACCCCTAAGGGGAGCCGCCAGGGGTGGTTGCACGGGCTCGTTCGCGGCCATTTTGTGGGGATGTCTCAGGCGGTTTGCCTGTTTCTGTGCCCAACATCCTTCGCTTTCGGAGCAGATTTGGAGGATGTCTCGAGCGAGGCGCTCATTTTCACCCCCCAGGTGGGCCAGATTTTGAGGATGTCTCGATCGGTTTGCCTGTTTTGGTGGCCAGGCTCGTGGGCGCAGATTCTTTTCAGGATGCCACAGGAGGCTCCAACAGGCTCCAGGAGGCCCCAGGAGACCACATGAGGTCCCAGGAGGCATCAGGAGGCCACAGAAAGACTCAAGAGGCCACAGGATGTCCCAAGAGGCTCCAGGAGGCCCCAGGAAGCTCCAGAAGGCCTCAGGAAACCACAGGAGGCCCCAGGAGGCAACAGGAAGCGCCAGGAGGCCTCGGAAGGCAACAGGAGGCCCCGAGAGGCCCCAGGAGCAGGAGGCCTCAGAAGGCAACAGGAGTGGCTCCAATCCCATGTGTTTTACGTATGCTCCTATCGATTGGGCCTCACCTGGAGCACGATTCTTTGATGTTCTACGTATGTTTCTATATATTGTCCTTCTCCTGTGTAAGCAATCCTACTTGTTTTACTTTTGTTCCTATATATTGGGCCTCTCCTGGGGCACGAGTCCATGGTGTTTTACGTGTGTTCCTGTAGACCCATATACAATATTACCTTTAAAAAAGGATGCACATATGGGGAGCTCCACGCAGTGAGTAATTTTGCCATTGTCGGCCTCGGGGGGCCCTCGCCGGGCCTCGGGGCCGTCGAAGAACGACTCGGGACGAGGAGCCGGTCCCGGGGAAAGGGCCGGGACTTCCAGGGTCACCGTCCTGACAAGATCGGGACGTCGCATGTCTGGGGCTCTCGGCTCGACGACGAGTGTCGCCGCGCCGTGGGTTCCGACGCGCGGCGTTCCGCCTCGGCGAGGGCGCCTGGGCAGACGCCGCCCCGGGCGCGGTGGGCTTGACGCGGGGTTTGCTGCGGAGCCGGCCTCGTCTGCTGGGGCGCTGGGCGCAGGGTTTGTGCCGTGGGCTTGCCGTGGTGTCGGCGCCGCCCACTTGTGCGCGCTCAGCACAAACGGCGCGGCGACACGTGGTCGAGCCGCCCGTGGTTGCGGAACAGGTCACGGAGGGATCATGTCGGGAGCTCATGCGGCTCTTGAGGGCCCTCGCCAACCCCCAGGGGCCGTCACAGGTCGAGTCAGGACGAGCAGCCGTAGGCCTCCGCCGCAGATCCGCGCGGCGGCCTCGGCCCCTCGCCGAGGCTGGCTTTTCATCCCCAGGTCGCTTCTTGGCGGCCCTGGGGCCTGGCAAGCCGCAAGCTTGCCAAACAATCTCCGTCGCGATTCCTGCCACGACGCGCGTTTTTTTCTTCCCCCTCAGACGTGCGACGTCATGATGTTTTCAGGACGGCGTCCCCGGAAGTCCCGACCCTTCCCCCGGGGCCCAGATTTTCGTCCTGAGTAGTTGTTTGACGGCCGCGAGGCCCAGCGAGGGCCCGCTGGGCCGGAAATAGCCAAAAACCTCCCGTCCTTAGTTTTTTTGTTGTACGACGCGATCATGTCTGGGTCACGACGCGCGCTTCTCTTGTTCCTTGAAATGCGGGGAGGCCTCGCCGTCGGATGTTGGCTGGTGCCACGAGGGAGGTCGGTGCCGATGTGGCCAGTGCTTCCAGCGCCAGGCCGCGTGCTCGCGGCGCGCTTCCGTTTTCGCAGCCGTTTTTTGCTCCGAGGTCTTGGCTCGAGCGGCTTGCTGCTGGAGAGGAGGTGCCCTCCCCTGAGATCTGGGCGCTTGCAGTCTTTCCACACTGGGCGTTTTCGCTCGATTTCGGGCCCCTGTTTTGCCGATCGGTCGCACCCCCCCCATGGAGTAGATCTTGGCCGATTGTGGCGCCTGTTTCAGGCAGGTGGAGCCTCCCCCATAGGACGCACTGCTGCAAAAAGCCGCACTGAGCATAGGTCCGGAGCCAGACCCCCCTCCCCTTGCGCCTTACGGATCGATCTGGCTTGAAACCACTGCAGGAACAGGGGGTCTGGGGCTCAGGTCGTGATTTGCCTCGATGTCGTTTCTTTTCGCAGCGTCGGATCTCAGGGTCTCCACCGTATTGCATGGACGCTCTGGCGGCTGCTGCCGTTGGCATCTGCCCTGTGGCGGCCGTGCCCCGGCCGGGCTTTCTTTGCCCGTCGCCCGCGAGGCGCTTCGGCTCCCGTGCCCACTCTCGGCTGCACCCGGACGGCGTGAGGCATCGCAGGGCTCGGCAAGGCCCTGGTCTGCATCATCCAGTTGCCTCTGGCAAGCCCCGCCGCCGTGCCAGCGCAGCATTGACATGCGTGCCGGATCGTTCGATCGAGCTCCCCCGACAGGCCAGACAGCCTCATCCTGGTGGCGTTTGGGAAGCATCGCTGCGGCGTTGGCGGCGCGGCCGTGTCGCTGCATGGCTGTTGGTTGTGGCGTGGCCTCTTGGGGACTTCTTGGCGGCTCCTCGGGGGCGTCTTCCGGCTGCGGCCTCTTCCGGCGTCGAGCCCAGGGGGGAAGGCAGCGATAGCGGGGCCCTCTCAGACGGCCCAGAAGGCTGCCGGCATTCTAGAGAGCTTGCTGGGCCCTCGCCGAAGACTCGGACGGCTCCAGAGGCCGGAGGGCTTCCGAGAAGCCCGGCCGCCTTCCGAGAAGGCCGGCTGCCTCGCACTCCTCCCCCTCGTGGCGCGCCGCCGACCCGACCCTCATGGGGCTCTCTGGAGATGCCTTTTTGGGGGCTTCTGTTGGGGGCGTTGGGGCCGTCTGCGGCGCGGTGGGTCCACAGAGCGCTCCCCGAGAGGCTCGCCGCGCCAGGTCTCCGCCAGAGGCGCGGCGTCGGCGGCCCCGTCCTCGCCGCGGCGCGCGCCGCGGGGTGCCGCGTGTCTTGCGGCGTGCGCCGCGAGCAGGCACATCTGGGGGGCCGGCTGCGGGCCCCACCCCCGCCTCCCCACGAGTTCTGAGGGGGAGGGCGGGGTTCGCTTCGCTCGGGAGCTCCCGAACGAAGTGAACCCCGCCCTCCCCCTCAGAAATCGTGGGGGTATGGGGCAACCCGAGTTTCGTAATAAGCGTCGGGGGGGCGCCACCCCCGCCGACAGCTCCACATCGACACCCGTCGCGGGCAGCCACCGCGCGCCTAAGGCGCTCCGACCCCCGTCGCGGCGCGACGACGAGGCGAGGCTGACCCCCCGTCGGGGGGGACCCCCCCACGCGTATTAAGAAACCCAGAGTAGGGTTCGCATGTGGCCCCCTGTGATGGGCTTGTTCTCCACCACCACCATAAGTTATAGGGGGAGGGGGTCCTCCTCCTCCTCCTCCTCCTCCTCCTCCTCCTCCTCCTCGTCCTCCTCCTCCTCGTCCTCCTCCTCCTCGTTCTTCACCTCCTTCCCCCCTCCAACTTCTGGTGGTGGTGGTGGGAGACGTGCCCGTCACCCTATCATCAACACGAACGCGCGCGAGTTCTTCCGAAGGCGGGGCCAGGAGCGCGGAGCCGCGCCGGCGCGAGAGCGCGGCGAGCCGGGGAGCGGCATCGCTGCCGAGGAGGAGGCCCCCTCGGGCCGTGGGCAGACGTCGGTGGGCGTCGTGGCCTGCGGCGTCAACGACCCGCTGAACGTGGGCAGCTTCCTCCGCCTGATGGCCTGCTTCGGGGCAGAGGTCAGGGGCAACGACAGGGGGGGGAGGATGCCCCCAGATCCTGGCGGCTCCATTTTGTTCGAGCCGGGCGTTTTTGTGCCTCTTCTCGGGTCCTGGGACCCTCACAGATCGGGCTCAAAACATTACCAGAGAGATGGGGTCCAGGACTCCATGCGCGGATTTTCGCGATGTTGCAATTTGGTCGCTACGTCGGATCTCAGGGCAGGCATAGGGGGGGGGATGCATCGACCCTCAATCGCCCATTCATCGCCGACAGGGTCGATCGATGGCCCCAACCTGCCCAGGATGGTGCGGATTCGCGATCAGAGGCCTATCGCCGATCTATCGGCGATGCATCGCCGATTCCAGATCGATGCATCCCCCCGTGTGGGAGGGAGGGAGGGAGGGAGGGAGGGAGGGAGGGAGGGAGGGAGGGAGGGTCCCCCCCTGTCGTTGCCCCTCAAGAGGGCCGCCTGGCAGTGGTGCACTACGGCGACAACAGGGACGGGGACGACGACGCGCGGCGCCTGGGGCCCGACTGCCCCGGATTCTTCGACCTGCCGGCCATCTCGAGGCAGATCGCCAGGACCGCCTGCGGTGCAGAGAGGAGCGCCGGGCCCATCGAGCCGCTGCCGCTGGGTGCTTTCCTGGAGCGTGACAGGTCCTGCGACGTGCCCCTCCTCGTCATCGAGACCGTCAACGGTGCGACCTCGCTGCAGGACTTTGAGTTCCCTCCGTGCTGCAGGATTGTTGTTGGCTCCGAAGGCCGTGGGGTCAGCAGCCTCTTGATTCAGGCTATGCAGGCCCGGCGTGGTGATGCTGCGCTGTACATCCCAATGCCGGGACCACACCCAAGCTTGAACGCCGCGATGGCTTTGAGTTGCGCGCTGTACGAATACCGGCGGCAGTGGCCGTCATAAAGAGGTAGATCTGTTCACGGCGTTTTTCGCTTTGACTCCCAGGGCACGGCTGATTGCACGAGTTTGCCACTGGGAAGTTGACGACAAGGACCTTAATTAGGAGGAATACCAACCCAGACCTCCGACGAGGTGTTTTTCCTTAACGTGAACCCGAGAGTTCTAGACGTCCGGACCCCTTCCCCAGGACCGGTGTTCCATCCCGATTTGTTCTGCTGCGGTCCGGGCCCGGTGAGGGACCCTTTGAAACCGAAAACGGCCAGCAGCGTCCTGTCGCGATTTTTATCACGACGAGGAGGAGGGTGCATGAGGCTTGTGTTTTGTTCGTCTGTTTGCTTTTTGAGGCATGCGGCGTCGTCTGTGGCGTTTCGGAGACAGGGCCCCAGCCCTCTTGTCTTAAGTCGGGCCTGTCCCTCTACAGGGGGAATGTTCAAAAATAATGTTAAAAATAGTCTGGGGACGATGATTGAACCTTTTTTGTAATATTTTGTGATCTTTTTCCCTTGTCCGTCCAACTTCCCCCTGCAGGGGGACATGCCCGACCTAAGTCTCGTCTCAAGTCCCCTGGGCCCTCCTTCTGCCGCTGTGCCTGCCGCTCCTCCACCTCCTCCTCCCCTTGCTCCCCGTCGGAGTGCTCTCGCAAGGCGGCTTCGCGCTTTCAGTCGTTGTCTTAAGTCGAGTGTGCCCCTCTACAGGAGGAATATTCCAAAGTAGTTAAACAATAGTCAGGAGACGATGTTTCGACTATTTTGGACAATGTTGGAATATGCTTTGATTATTTTTTCGTCCAACATCCGCCTGTAGGGGGACACGCCCGACCTAACGTCAGGGTGTTCTCGCAAGGCGGCTTCGCGCTCTCAGTCGCGGCCCCAGGATCTCCAAGGAGGCCCCCAGGCCTCCGGAGCACTCCCCACGAGGTCCCGAGGGCGCCTCAGGGGCTTCAGGATGGAGCGAAAAGCGCGGGGGCACCCCGAGCCCGGGGCACCTTCAGCCACCTCCGATCCTGGGAGGAACTGCTAGCCCTACAGGGACAGGGCCCGGGCTGCGGGGGCCCTCGCCTCGAAACAGTGGAAGCGCCGCGTGTCTGGGCCGGGACTGGGACGTGCCGCTCCGGAGCGGCCCGGAGCACGCTTCTCTGGGAGGTCCGCGCCGCTCGATGCACATCCGCCCAGGGCCGCCGCATCTCGGAGGTCTCCGACGTGTCCAAGTCCCAGGTCGTCTCGGCCCCGTTGCCAGCTTGCGTATTCCATCGGGGGCGGCCACGAGGGGGGTGATGATTAGGGGGGGTGGATACCATGGCGTGGGCCATGAATTTCCCCGGGTTTCACGGCGCCTCTTCTTATTTCATTACGTCCCTGGCCCCACCCCTGGGCCGCGCACATGCCGCCGGCCGTGATTTGCGCCCCCCCCCTCTTGGACGCCCCCCTCTTGGCCACCCCCGTTTCCACCCTTGTTCCCTGCCCTGCCCCTGCGCCACTCGGCTCCTCCTCCTCCCAGCCCCCACCCCTCGCGTCTATATGGCTCTCAGTCCTGGCCGCGAAGCCAGCAGTGTCGAGCACCCACAGACAGTTCACACGTGAGCGACATTGTGGTGGCCGTCGGAGAGGTGTCGGCGGGCATGTTGTCGGAGTCGCCAGCACGGAAGTTATGGATCGCGCCCTACCTGATCCCCCTTCGCCCTCTCCTCTTCGCGTTTTGTTACGCTCGAGTGTCCTGTTCTCCTCCTCCTTCTCCTCGCCATCTACCTCGTCGTCCACCTCGCTCTCGTGCCCTGGCGGCCTCGTCTGCCTCCTCGACGGGCTTGGAGGAGGAGGAGGCGGCCTCCCCCGCGCATTCCCTGTGCCGTCGGTGCCCTCACGCGTGCCCAAGGGGCTGGCATAGCCAGGGGCAGCAGCGTGCGCGCGAGAGAGCGAGAGAGCCGACAGACTCACCGTGGCCCCCTCGACTCAGAGGAGGAACGCATACCGGTGCCAATGCCCTTCCCTCGCTCCCAGACCCCCGACGTCGTGGTTTTGTTCGCAACGTCGACCCCCAGAGGTATGCACCCCTTCCCCAGGACCAGTTTTTCGTCCTGAGTCATTTTCTGACGGCCCCGAGGCCGGATCAGGGCCCAAGGAGGCCGAAAATAGCGAAACAGTTTCCGTCGTGATTTTTGTTCCCAACGCGAGGGGGTCCGGGCTCTTGCCTGCTTGGGCACTCGTCGGGGACCCCGTCGCCACGGTGAGGTTCTCCCCGGAGATCCTGGCCAGAACGCGGCCTGCTGCAGAGGCCCCGGGAACGGCGGTATCGGCATGTTGTGTCCCCCCTTCCCATCGACGCCTGGCCCATCGACGGGACGAAGGGCCTCTCGAGACGGCTGCTGAGTTCGGGGGGGGTCCAGAATCTCGCCCTCGCGGGTCAAAGAGCCTCTCGAGACCCAGAGTCTCTCGCGTTGCGTTTTGGTTTTTGTTCGGCCTCTGGGGCCCTCACCGGGCCTCGGGGACCGTCAGACACGGCTCGGGGTGAGAAGCGGGTTCCGCGGAAGGGGTCCAGACCTCTGGGGGTCGACGTTGAAACATCACGACGTCGGGGGCCTGAGGTCGGTTGCTCATATAACCCCGTTTCCCCGATAATAAAGAGTCCCCCCCCTGAACCCCTGAGTGGTTATTATTCCCGGGTCAGACAGACTTGATTGTGGAGAGGGGCGGCGAGGCCGAACTGGATTATCGCGGGGGGAAGTTGCGAATCGAAATTGTTATCTTCCATGTTGACTGGCAACATCCACATCATCATCCGTCATCATCATCATCGTCATCATCGTCATCACCATTATCATCATTAGCATAATTATCATCATAATCATCATCACCATCCTTCTCACCATCATCCTCCGCCAGGAAAAAACGTTTCTTATCCCCCCCGAGACCCCGAACTTTCTTATCCCCAGGGGTTCATTATCAGGAGTATGGGGTTAGTGGGCCAGCGTGCTGAGGGGGCCAGTAGAGGTCTGTGGAGATACAGGATAGGCACGGGCACCCCGGAGCCATGGGCAAGTTCGCGACCGACCCGTCCCTGTCCATGAAGATGCACCAGGACGCCGCTGCGCCTGCTTCGTGTGCAGGTGAACGG